TATGACAATCAAGTTTGGACTTGGTTGACAATGTACCGGGTCGTAAGACAGTCGGGTGCAAATGGATCTTCAAGAAGAAGACCGACATGGATGGGAAAGTACACACATATAAGGCGCGACTGGTTGCGAAAGGGCTTTACTTAAACTCCGGGAGTTGACTATGATGAGACCTTCTCGCCAGTGGCGAAGATTAAGTCTATTAGGGTTATGCTAGCCATAGCTGCCTTTCATGATTATGAAATATGGCAAATGGATGTCAAAACCGCTTTCCTTAATGGAAAGTTGGTTGAGGATGTTTACATGAGTCAGTCAAAGGTTTTTGTCGATGCAAAGTACCCTAATAGAGTGTGTAAGCTTGATAAATCCATTTATGGATTGAAAAAAGTATCTCGCAGATGGAATCTTTGTTTCGATGAGAAAGTCAAAGAGTTTGGATTTTCGAGAAGCGAGGATGAGTCCTGTGTATAGTAGTGGGAGCATAGTTATCTTTCTGGTGTTGTATGTGGATGACATACTTCTCATAGGAAATGACATCCCAACCTTGCAGGAGGTAAGGTGCTGGCTTGGGAAGTGTTTCGCTACGAAGGACCTCGGAGAAGCTGCCTATATTCTTGGGATAAGGATATTGAGAGACAGGAGTAAGAGACTAATTGGACTTAGTCAAAGTACCTACTTGGAAAAGGTGTTGAAAAGATTCAACATGATGGATTCCAAGAAAGGTGACTTACTGATGCAGAGCAATGCCAAACTGAGTAAGACTCAGAGACCGAGTACATAGGTTGAGATAGCTGAGATGAGTCGAGTACCATATGCTTCCGCAGTTGGCTCGATCATGTATGCTATGACTTGTACTCGCCCTGATGTGGCCTTTGCTTTGAGCATGGGTCAACAGATATCAAGGGAATCCTAGAAGGCTCACTGGACTGCGGTAAAGAACATTCTCAAGTACCTGCGGAGGACTAAGGACTGGGTCCTTACCCTGGGTGGGAGTGATGACTTGAGAGTGGTGGGGTATAGTGACGCCAGCTTTCAGACCGACAGAGATAATTTTCTCTCAGGGCTTGGTTTGTTTACCCTTAATGGAGGAGCAATCACTTGGAAAAGTTCCAAGCTAGAGACTGTAGCTGATTTAACGTGCGAATCAGAGTACATAGCAGCAAGTGAAGCGGCGAAGGAGGCGATATGGCTGAAGAACTTCATCGGAGACCTTGGAGTTGTACCAGCTATAAAGGAGTCTATGGAGATTTTCTATGACAGCGAGAGTGCAGTTGCCTTAGCCAAGGAACCAAGGGATCATGGCAGATCCAGGCACATCGACAGAAAACATCACTTCATAAGACATCGGATAGAAGAAGGACTCCTTGTAGCAAAGAGGGTATCGTCAGAGGAGAACCCAACAGATCCCCTCACGAAGGGACTGAGTAGGGTTAAGCACTTACAGCATGCGAGGCGCATCGGGCTGAAGGACGATATTAGTTTTAATGATTAGATAGTTTTTAAGCTTCTTATAGTTGAAATGTAATTGACATTTGATGATTAAATAAAAGGTATTTTTTATAAGTAATGTTACTATCTTGTGTCAATCATTTACTATTGTTTCATTTTGCATGTTTTGACTTCCAGAATAATTAAATTATTCAAACTATCCACAGTCGATCATACGTTGGAAGTAGGTATTGAGGCAAGACTGTCATGAATTTGGCTTGTAGATTGTCTGAAGTGTATTAGATATAGCAAAGTTTGCTACAACATTCATGAGTGCTCATAAGGTCTGAGTATTGGATTAAACCACGCTCACTTGTATCACTTCATGGAATTTATCTCGAGTGATCGTGAGACGATAATATCATATAAGTCTTCAAACCAAGATATATGAGTTGTTGACTATGAGTTGGTTGTACATTGCTAGTGCAAAACCGCATTAGTAACTTGATGTTATAAAACGTACTATTGTGTATGATTTAACAAGTAGTTAGTACAAGCATATATTATCGAAGTTTATATGTTCCTTTTAGTCCTTGGAGGATTAAAAGCGATATCTTGGGCCCCTCGATGATTTTGTTTTGACTAATGTGTCGGGCCCGGTCAGAACTCAATTGATGTGTTCGATTAAGTTTTATGTCAAACAAATCGGAAATCGGGAAACAAACTGTTGGACAATAAGTATGACGTTGTTCCATGTATTTGTCCGGCTGATATCTTGAGAACAGAGGATTATATGATCCCTTATCTAAATGGCATGTCTGGTTTTCACAAAGGCTTTTAAGAGCTACGATTACTAGTCGGTTCCTGAAGTCATACTGGAAGCTATAGTTATTAGACTTATCCAAGTGGGAGCTGTTGGATAAGGTGTCTAAGACCATAACTATAATTGGTATGTACTTGGCCCGAGAGTAACATGGTCCATTTGGGTTGCATTTCACCAGAACAATTTGTAAGGATGGACTTTTGAGAAGAGGTTATTTGTGATTTATTAATATATTATAAGTTCTAATATATTAATATGAAATCATATTATTTAATTAGTATTGATCAAGAATTAATTTGGAATTAATTTAGTGGTCAAAAGAGCTAATTAAATGTAAGGGGTTGATTTGGTAAATCAATGATTCGTATAGTGTGGGCCAATGGTTATTTAGGTTGGGCTAAACCAACATGGTAGTAATGGATAGTCCATGGAGGTTTAACCCATAGAGCCTAAGTAAGATGAAAGGTCATGCACATTAGGGTTTGCATGGATGTAATCTTAATCATTGCCACACTATAAAAGGAGTCCCTTAGCTCATGAAATCAGCCACTAGTGATCTTTGGAAGAGCATAGCCGATTTTGTGAGAAAGTTATTCTCTCTAAAGTCCTCCATTGTTGGTGGTGTTGTGTGAAGCATTTGAGACATCACATTTGGGGTGCTAGGCTCTTAAAGGTCCAAGTTAAGAAGCTACAAGAAAAGGTATGTCATCTAACTAGTTTTTGTTATACAAGTACCCATGTTTTGTATGCTAGTTAGGATAATGCTTTGGAAAATCAAATTGCATGTGTAATTAGAGAAAACATATATCCAAAGCATTTAGGGTTGTATGTGCACCTTAAGGTTGTTAGAGTGCTCAAAACCCATCAAGGGTTACCGAGCATAATAAATAAGAGGGACTAAATTACTAGGTTTCCACATACCTCGCTCTCTCATAAAGCCACTTAAAAAGTTAAGGTTGCATTTAGTTGCGGAAAAATTGGTTGTTTTCCAGAAAAAATTTCCAAAAAAAATGAGAATTTTGAAAATGTGTTTAGTTCGTCTATTTTTCTAAATTTTTCACGGAAAATGAAAATTTTCCGTTTTCTAAAATTACAAAGAAGTTGAAAATTTTTTGGAAAGCCGATAATCATTTAGTTCCAAAAAATTTCTACCCCCACCCCCACAAACACACACATACACACACACACACCCACCTACCCAACACCACTACCACAATCACCGACCTACCATCACCATCACCACCACCACCACCACTACCCCATCACCATCACCACCAACATCGCTGCCATCACCACCACTGCCACAATTGCCGCCACCATCACCACCACCGCCACCACCCTGTTGCCGTCGCCGCCTCCACCCTCACCCTACCACTGTTACCGTTTTCTAAAAATTAAAACCGATACAAAGATACACATCTAAACACGTTTTCTAATTTTATAAAACTGAAAATGAAAAATGAATAAGTTTTAAGTAAACACTTTTTCTAAATTTTCCAATGAAAACTAAAAACTAAAAAGGAAAAACGAAAAACATAAAATAAAAACTATTTTTCCGTAACTAAACGCAACCTAAATAACTAAAAGGGTCAACCCTAGAAAGTTTATAGGGCATATGTGTCATTTTCCCTTATAAAAAAATTACTAGGTTGTCCTTCAAAAAACCATGCATTTTATGTAATTGCATATATTTTAAAATTTTATAACCATTCTTACCAAAGAGTTTTACTCAAATAAAAGGTACAAACTACTCTTATCAAACATTCCTACTAAAAAAACATTACAGCTTTCAGCTAATAATTATTGTTACCGAACATATCTCATGACTACCAAATAGTTTAATTAATTTAGTTAAAGCAGTTGAATGGTGATCAAACAGTTTTTCCAACTTTATCATTTTTGTTTTCCTATATAAATTTTGTTTGTTTAGAAAGGCTTCAGTTCGTTTTCCTTTTGTAGATTGTATGTGAATCAAAATTCAAGAATGAGATCTAATAAATCAATAAAATAGATAAACATATGCACATGTGAACGTTTTTGCTTAACCAAGTGAATCTTCATCGAAATTCTCATTTCTTCAAGACCTCAACGAATGTTTAGTATTCGCCGGCTCAAATATGTTAGACACTTTCTAGTTTGATATTTCCACAATTCAAATCACTTTCTATGATTTGGTCCAAGTTATTGTGGATTAATATTCTAATAACAAAGTATTTGACTAATACAACTATATCATAGGATTTTTAATTTCTTACACACGCTATCTGTAAATATACATAATTTAGCTTTTGATTTTGTTTAATGTATCTATCCTTTTATTCAATGATCTTTAAAGCAAGTTGTTCATATGGGACCCAATTCAAAACCTTAAACTTTATAACATTGAATACATTTTTCTATATCCACAAACGTTTCAATCTAATATCGATGATCGATTTTACGTATTCTTTATGTTGATTTTGTGATTCATCCCAATTAACAATTTGAACAATTGAAGTTGTTAGTTATGACAGTTGATGATAACAAATTTTTCCTTTTGTTATAATTCAAAAATCATGAAATTATACTCATAACTCGATGAAAAAAATATGATCATATTGATAATGATCTAAGTAATGAATTTTAAAAAATGTTATGAATCTGTATATTGATCAAAATGTTACATGAATCAAAGTATTCATGTACAGAGTTTCCATATTTGATATTTCTACTGTATAATTGGTTCGATTTACAAACATGATCATCGTGAATCTCAGCTGCATAACGGATGCGTGATCGATCGGCTTCTCAAATTGAGATTCATCGTGCAATTCATCTCAATTGTTTTTCTCCGATCGACAATCGTCAGAGCATGAACTCTACCTGTCATCTTCGCATAGCTTATAATCTCCATCAGTTCCGTACTATCGCTATCACTGCCGCTAATATTTAAATTCTCAGATCTAATTTGCATCGTAACACTAACCGGTTTAATGTTTCTCGCGCCAACACGGCCACCGGAAATAACTCCGCCACCAATCGTAGAGTTCCCGTACAAAATAACAGCGTTGCAGTTCTCGAAGTCGTATCGGCCGAAGTTTTCGTTGTCGATCGTCACCTCGGTTAACATCGTGATGTTCAGCGACGTTGAATTCGTGTTCTCGAATTGGAAATTTTGAATTGAAACGGTGCGTAGCCGGAGCTTAGGATTGTTTACGCGAAGAAAGACCGAACCAAAAATTAAGAAGACTGTGCCAAGGAAGACGATGGCCGCGAGTACGTAAACGATGCACTTGCTGCTTTCCTGGTACTTCGGTTTTCTGAAATTTGCGGTGGTTGTAGACGGTTGTTCATCGCTCTTAACGCCGGCCGGTGCAAGTCGCATGCTCTGGCTCTCTAGGTCTGCCATGTCTCTCTGTGTTGTTCGAAGTGTTCAATATGTGTTTGTAGATGTGTATATATAGAAAGGGGTAACAGATAAGTATATATAAAGTTTCATATCGACCCTTCTATTTTAAAAAATGTCAATTCATTCCCTTGGTTGGGTTGGGTCATAAACACGTTGAGATATTTAATTAAATATGTTGAAAAACTCTTATCCAACCCAACTTATTTAAGTAACGCGTTGAAAATTTTCAACTCAACCCAACATTTTTAGTAAATTGGTTGAAATCGAATTGACATTTTATTGTTTTTACAACTGGCTATATTTACAAAGCAGGTTGAACCCAATTGACCCGTTTAAATTTTCGAAAAAAAAATCTTAAGTAGTTTTCATAATGTAATGTCCCAAAAAACCATAGTAAAATCTTTACATTTTTAAAAAAGATAAAGTAGTTTTCATAACCCGGAATCATCAAAATCATTGTTCATATTTTATTATAAAATCAGAGTATCAACATAACATTACTCTAAAAGCATGAAAACCATTTGATGATGTGTATAATCACGCATTCGACTTGCCTCGGTCCTCAGAAGTACCTGAAACGTTTGAATTCACATTGTAAGTCAAAGTTGAGTGAGTTCCCCAAAGTATCACATACAACACACCACAACAAATAAGACAACTATGGGTTATCATCAACCCTGAGTTATCAGCAACTCAATGTTAGCTGTTTAGGTTATTAGCAACCCCGAGCTAGCAACAACTTACTACAACACGTTGGGTTATCAGCAACATTGAGCTATCAGCAGCTCAAATCCAACACATCATACAGTAACATAGTGAGAAAACTCATCCCACAGACAAGCAACAATCTCTACAGCTCATAATACGGAAAGGCAGGCACCACGTCCACCTAAACACATATTCCAAGGTCAATTCTCAACCTATGACCTAAACCTAAACATTTGACCCAAGGTCAAACCTAATCCAAAAGACAACTGTCAAAAGTCAACTCATCAGGCCACCACGCCGTGACAAAACCCTTGTCATGTCGTAGTCTAAAATATCCAGTCGCGATCCTTGAACCTGCCATGCCTTGGCCAATAGCTTTCTGACGTGGTAAAGACAACCCAATCGCGACACAAGAGCTCACCACACTATGGCCAACCCTTTGCCACACTGTGGTTCACCAGGCAGATTAAAATCTTCTTATTAAGTCTTTAATCCTTTAGGACCAACATTCCAACTTTCCAGGAGGCTTCATCATGCAAGGATGAGCCATAAAAATCCTAACTTTATGAATCTGAACACTCCACGCAAGCCTTACACCATTTTAGGTCAAAATAGGCAAAATGTGACTTATTTCATTGCATGGCCCCAAAACACTTTTTGGCTCTAGATCTAAAAGATAAGAACTCATTATGGACACATGAAATTGATAAAGTTGCAAACTTTATCCGGAGTCCTTCCCTCTACTTCCACTAAATCCATAAAAAGGAACTAAAATTCCATAATAAGCTAGATCTATGAAGTTAAACCATTAAAATGGAGATTTAGACACTTACAAAGGTCCAAGGAATGCACAAGCTAATGAACCTCGTCAATAATCTCTTTACAAGCTCCAAAGGATATGTTCTTCTTCCAAAATGCAACCAAACACACCAAAAAGGGCTTAGAGGAGAAAATAAGGTAATGGTTTGGAGGGACACTTCTAGAGGGATGGAGGTTAGGGTTGAAAGAAAACCTAGTCCCATCATTCTTTAAATAGAACTAAGAAACCGAGCCTTAGGATTTTGGGCCCATGACGGCACCGCGACGTGGCACCCATGGATGAAACATCGTGGTGACAAGGCAATCACTATGTCGTGGTAAGCCTATCACCACGTCGTGGTTAGGGCTGAAGGGCCAAATCCAACTCTTTTGACTTAAAAACTCAAGATATATAATTCAAATCAGGATTTAGATGTTAAACATAATTGTTCAAGTTTGAAAATAATACAACCATAAGTTTATAGGTCCATAACACAAAAACAAAATAAGTGTTTACAAATATAAAACATTATACATGTTTAATTACTAAATCCTACACAAATCGACTATCACTTTTATCAACTCGGCGTCCAGTAATGGTTACTGACTGATGTGTGCAAAGATATACCTATCTAGTTTTAAATTTATAACCTAACTACTTATCTATTATTGCACATATAGGCAGTGTACCTAGTCGGATTATAATATAGTAAAGTAAGTTGGGGGTCGAACACAGGGAACGAATTTAATTAACTAAAATAATTACTAAAAATTAACCTAAAACGAGCAAAAGTTAAAAGGGATTTTTCTATCTGATTTTACAAGTTCAGACTAACTTAAACAATTACCTAATAATTTTAATCAATATTCTAAAAACACTTCCGTTTAGTTCGAATCTACTTCTCCTCTACAGTTAGTTACTAATTATGCATTATTATAGCTGGTTACCAATTATTATGTAATTAGAAATTCAAGTTCAAATTTACTAATATTTTCACCAATTCATGAACTATCTTGTATGGTCATACATAAGCAAAACACAGAATTAGTTATTAATTATAGATGGACTATATAAGATTTATCTAAACAAACACAATTATGGTCACAATTTATGTTCTCTAGCACAGCTAAATTTGTTACTTTTATAACTTTGCTAAGATTTGGTCGATCCTAGCACTAGCAATTTAATGGTCACTAAATCACTAGGTAATCAAGTTCATGTAATTTAATGGTCACTAAGCTACACTTAACTTGAATTCAAGCAATAAATCACAACTTTAATATGCTAGGTAATGATAATCAAACACATGCACACAACCAACTAGTAAAATCCATAAATTAGATAACTAAATCATAGAGTTAAAATATCATCTAGCTAAACGAAAGCAACTAAGTTCAGCTACTCATGGTTGAAAACATAAACACAAGTTCAACATAAATCGACATGATTAAAGTAAACCAAACCAATGTAATGATGTGTTCTTCAATCTCTAAATCTCCAAGCAAATCTCCTTCCAAAGAATGTTGTGTGCACTTTCTAGACTCTAGAATCGGGTTATCAGAATACCTTTCCTCCATAAAACTCTCCAAAAGCCTTATCAAATCATAAGAATGAAGGAGAATTAATAGTTGTGGAAAAATACGTGATTCACAACGTGAACAAGGGTTTCACGTCGTGACTTTGATACAAATCCTTATCGGGCAAGGATTCTGACTTCCCTCGTACTTATCTTCTAGAATACACACTTCTCGTCGTGAGGTTGATTTCCACGTCGTGACTTGGGTTTCTCGTTGGAATTCTTCTTTTAAGCTTCCATCCTCCAAAGTCCAATTCTTGTCAATTTCGGTCCCTATTCTTCAAGAGTGTTCATTTTGGCTGCAAAATGCAATTTAATTCAATAAGTACCAAATATCTTTGAAAATAACCAAAATATTAAATAAAATGTATTACGATGTTGCCTAAAAATATGTATAAATATGGAAATATCAAAATACCCCACACTTATCTTTTGCTTGCCCACAAGAAAAATTAATTTATTTTAAGTCAAACTTTTATCACCAATATCACATAAGACAATCCATTTTGAACTCAGCCATTATACCAAGACCTCATTGTGCATATTTGTGTCTAACGTTCCTAATAACTTCCCAATCCCAAATACTTACAATCCTTATGAACCTTCACCCCTTAGCTTATACGCCACTCGTTTCTACAACCATTCGAATCCATCCTCAGAAATCTTCTTAACCTCAAGGTATTTTTGGTTAAGCTACCCAAGCATACATAATCTAGAAAAATTACAAGTTTGATACCACAATGGAGCTCTTGGAATTCTTCACTTCTTTGATATTTGCTCTTTGATTTCTCTGAATTCACCACATTTATGTTTGATTTTTGGTATCTTCAACATTTTGATTCTTCAGAATTTTTGATCTTTTGATCTTCATACTTTGATTGGTCCAAAATTTTTACAACTTTTTGGTAATTTTCTCTTTTTTTTTTTAAATATTTCACTTTTTTCGCTCAAATCCTATATTCTTAAGCAAGGGAGCTTAACTTCAACATTTATTGGTTAGAGGTATTAGTCAAAGTGCAATGACTATATAAGCTCTCCTGGATAGATTTCAGGTGCAGGCTGCAAAACTTATTATACCATATAAACTACCAGATTATCTTTCATATCTCATGGCTTTTCACTAAAACTTGGGAAGCCACAAATATACTATAACATATGTTGGCTTAATTAAATATTTGAGCTCATATTGGATCATCTCACGCAACACTAGCAACTTACGTTTTTAAATTATCACTAGATTCAATTTTTAGATTATTATTTCAAATCTATTTCTAAATTTTTAAATTTTTGAATTTCCTAGAAATTTCCTTTTTCAACCCCCTACCCCACACTTATTTCAAACAATGCCCTCGATGTATGCACAAAATAATTTAAAAGCAATAAAAGGGAGAAAAATGAACAGACTCCCCTGGGGTAGTAGTGGCGAGATCGAGTTCTGGATGCGTGTGGAAAACTTGAACACCATGAGTATGTGATTGGAACTTGGATCTTTTAAGACATGTAATTGTGTCGGCAAGATGTGAATCGGAAACTTGCATCTTCAACAAGTGTGGTGCATAAGATCTTCAAAACATAGCATCTTAATGCGGGAAAGCATACGCCACATTGTAAGGTTGGAAGAGTTGCCAATTTTACTACTCACAACGTGGTGATGGATTTCACGTCATGGTGTCGATGTTAATTGTACTCTGAATCGTGATGACATCAAAGTTACGATGTGGGCATAAAGGCTACATCGTGAAAACTAGGTGTTCTAGAAAACAGTTTTGCAAGGCTTCTTTCGTGCAAGTGATGTTAAATTAACCTTCTTAATGGATTAAGACTCTTCTCAAAACTCAATATTTCTAGACTCTCTCTTCCTCTAATCTATTTTCTTTCATGAAATTGACCCCATACTTATTAAAAAAGATGGGCTTC